TCAAAGGGCTCACTCAGACTACCAACAGACACTCTGTTGAGAGTGTTTCTAAACTCCATTAGTCCTGAATGCTAAATTTTCTGAAATCACGTTGATGGGATGTTTAAAAACCTTTTTCATATTTGACAAATCCATATCCAACGTGGCCTGATAGTGGAACTTCTGTAGAAAGAGATGTAACATTAACTTACAGTCTTAGGCAGACGCTTTGCCTTCTGCTAATTAAAATAATTAGCTAGTAGTTAAAAATCATGCTTTTTGTCAGATTAGTTGTACTTGAACCAAATGAAAACATTGTGGCACTAAATTTGGGGGTCACTAAAAAACCACCACCCCAATGTATTTAAATTCTCTTGCACAGGCTGTTCGACAGGAGTGAAGGTCTTTAGTTTGCCCTTCAACTGTTGGGTGAATTGCTTCCTTTCTAATATCTTTGGGGAAACTCCATAAGGGAAGCCGAGTGTGCTCTACACGCCCCCAGTATAAAAATCAGGTCCCCGTAGCTAAAGTGAAATGAAGCATTATGGTAATTATCCGGGTTATTCAGGGGAAACGAGAACGTGTAAGAGGTGATTTGGGGAAGTTGTTTTCTTTCTGCTTCACTTGCACACAGGGCCGTTTCAATTACTTGCCCATGCTGGCACAGTAGTTTCTTCTGAATCACTGTGTGACTAGCGTACACCAGAAATGCTTTTCCTGGAATGTGTGCTCAGTTATCTGTTAGATACATGTCATGAACTTTTCAAAACCTTAGCCCATTGTGTAATTAAGCACTCAGACAAATTCATATATTCATCTTAGAAGTTTGAATTTTGCCAATATTAGAAGTTCAAGTCTTACGGGAAAGGCCTCTGTTTGGTTTCATCATTATCCAATATGAAACCTACACCTCACATGGTTTCTATCCACTAACTAAAAAAAGGGTTTTATTCCCTTTAAATTCAAAGCAAAAAATCAAAGGTTCATCCTACCATAGGAATCTCCTGATAAAAGTTGAGAGCTTACCGAATGAAAATTTATGGCCTAAGAAAATTTATGAAGGGCTGGAGAGATGGCTCAGTGGTTAAGAGCACTGACTCCTCTTCCAGAGGACTGGGGTTCAATTCCCAGCACCCACATGGCAGCTCACAACTGTCTGAAGATCCAGTTCCAGGGGATCTGACACCTTCATACCAATGCACATAAAATAAAAGTTAAATAAACAATAAGAAATGCTTAAAATAAGAAAACTTATGAAATTATAACGCTCAGTCAGATCACAACAAAGAAGAAATGATTAACTTGTTCAACACTGTGTTAGGGTCTCTCTTGCTGCAATGAAACACCATGACAAAAAAAAAAAAAGGCAAGTTGCGAAGGAAAGTAAGTTGGCTTATTCTTTAACATTGAAGGAAGTCAGGACAGGAACTCAAAGAGGGCAGGATGCTGAAGGAACTGAGGCAGAGGCCCTGAAGGACTACTGCTTACTGGCTTGCTTTACATGGGTTGCTCAGACTACCATTTTATAGAACGCAGGAGCAGTATCCCGGGGATGGCACCACCCACCATGGGCTGGGCCCTCTTTCTTTGCCCACTAAATGAGAAAATGCCTTACAGATGGATCTCACTGAGGCATTTTCTCAACTGAGGCTCCTTCCTCTGATGGCTCTAGCTTGTGTCAAGTCGACACACAAAACCATTCAGTACAAACGCTGTGTTCATTTCAGTTCAACTGAAGCAATGGGAGCTTACCGCAATGGCGGTCCAGATGTAGAAAAAAAAAGCAGGAACATTAGTGGGTATAATTATCAAAGGTCCTCCCCTAGTGGCCCATTTTCACCCACAAGACTCTACCTCCTAAAAATTGCTGCTGGTGGTAGTGGTGTGTATGTTTTGTACTCAGACTACAATAAGCACACACAGTTATCCTAAGGCCAAAGACATCCTTCTTAAAAACCATACTTATGTCTTTCTACATATAAGCCCATTGTACGCTTTCTAAAGATCTTAGTGTCTTAAATTTTTAAGCATGCATAAATACATACATTTGTCTTATAAGTTCTCAGTTTTTCTAAAAGATTGTTAGTCAATCCTATTCTATTTAGCGTTTATATATGCTAAGAATTCAGAATCACCTACACCAAGGCTGCTGACGCAACAGTTATTTTGGCATTCTAGTTTCTTCTTATAAAATTTCAAGATAACACATCATATAAAGTTATGGTCAAGCAGCACTTACAAAAGTTATTGGGTTCTAAATCAAATATCATTAATACTAAAAAAGGATAAATCTCACTATAAAATATAAGGGAAACAATGTTCACAAGAATATTACCCCTCTCTTAATTGTTCAGAAATTTCAAATTATAGATATAAAAGTGATTGGTATAGTGTATTGATTTTCCTCAGATCTACCTTTCATTCACCAGCAGATACTTTCTGGTTCTAGCTTCAAATCATGTCAAAGATAAGACAGCGCCTTACCGTTTCCATATTCACAGCTGCTTAGCTGAATCTACATTCAGCTACTCTCTGGAGTGTCCTGATTTTTATATTTCTAGTTTATTTTCCTCCTAAAATTTTATGCCACAGCTAGCAACAAGGTGACATTTCTAGGGATAAATCAAATCATATCTCTGTGCTTTACTCTGCTTTTCTAGGGTTTCCCAATAGTCTGAGTAAAATACAAATGGCTTATTAAAATGCCTCAAGAATTTGGTTCTTCTCCAAATTTATATCCTGAAACTTCCTATCCCAAGCCAGGTTCAAAGGTCATTTGGCCATTTGTCAAAAATTCAAAAATTTCATGTTCCTCCTCTTTCTCACAAGTTTTATCCATTTTTTTGTCTGTCCTGAAATATCCTTGCCTAACCTTTAATGTGAAAATCCTTCACCAGTTTTATGTGGGTCACTATGAAAAAGAAATCTCTGTAGAGCTGTCCTCCAGACTACTCTATCTGTTAAAATTCTTTTGTCTTTCCTACAACCCTCTTCTGCTCCCTGTTCCTTTCTGAATGATGCCCATCCTTCCTCCAGATAGTCCCTTTTCTGCTTTCCTGCAACATGTATTCCGTGACTTTTCTCCTCCCCTTAAGATGTCGTCTATGTATAGCTATGGACAGAGAGGGAAGATACAGCAGTGGGGAGATTACAGTGGAAGCAGGAAAGAAGAGGGAGATAAAGGAGGGAATGCAGGGAATCTTAACACTAAGACCCATTTGAGGGGTCACATGGGCATACCACAGTAGATGCTTGTTAAAATATAGACTTAGAATGAAAAAAAAATTAAATGGAATCACCAAATGACAGGGATACAAAGCCCCAACTAGACATTTCTTGCCACCAAATGCAGTCTCTGGTGCCAGAAATGAACTACATGTAATTGAGATTTTGGCCAAAGGGGCCTATGGAAACCCACAAATGACTCAGGTTGTTGCCAAAGCTGTTAGTTGCTCTCCACAAATTGGTGACAAGGCCCTATCGCTGAAGACAATGCTGACATATCTCATTGAAAATGGAGTAGTTGAACTGCTCTTTAACTAGAACTGTCATCCCTAGTTACTAGTGTTCATGGTACTAGAAGGTACGCTTCATGCTACCAGAAGAGAAAGGTAAATACCAACTCAGTATAAACCCTTCAATGTACAATGATCACCTGCCTCCATGATACGCTGGTGCAATAGTAGCACCAAAGTTATGGAAGTAGCTAAGCACTATCTGATTGGAGTTATGGCCCACTCCATGGGATGGAGCCCATGTCTGACACTGTTTGAGTGGCCAACAACCTGAGACTACAAAGGCCCTGGATCTAGGGGAAAACCAAACACCACTGTTCTGCTAAAGGAACAAAGCAATAAAGAGCCTCTCAATGGCATTCTGCTTGCTATACTGACAGATCAATGTCTTGTTCAGTTATCATCAGGGTTTCCTTCTCCTGCAACAGATGGTAACAAATACAGAGACCATGTCCAGAAAGTGAGAGGCTTTGAAACACTCCATCCTGAATAGAATGTCTTCATCAAACCCATATATTCAGGGCTTTCACCTCTGACTGCAGCCCTGCAGAGATACCTGTCACCCACATTCCCACTATATACACTCAGTATGAGAAGATCTTAACTCTAAAGTCTTAAGAAGGTATCTTGGTTTGCCTTTTTTCAGAAAAGATCTACTTGCTAAACAACAAACAATCCATGCATATTATTGCATATATGTTTTTTGCATCTTCTTTTCCCCCACAAAACTTACTGAGCTGCAGTTACCTCATCTATGCCCACTGCTGGCTGTTGTGTGTTTATTGTGTAAGCCCCACTTTCCTTGGTTTATGTCTGTCTACAAGTGTAAGAAGTCACAGGGATTCCTCGCTGTCTTAGCAAAACTTGCTGGAAAATCAAAACTTCAGACAATTTTTTTATGTTCAATGTGCTTCCTCTTTGGAGAAAATAACCTCATATAAAGAAAAATTCAGGCAGGTAACTCGTTACTTTGAAAGTTCATAATTTTCTTCAGACACATTTCCCTTTCACTATGATTTTCAAGAACATCATAAATACACTTAATTTTTTTCAATGTTATCAGAGTTCAGTTTTGTACTAAAATTCAAGGAAAGGTATAACGTCCTAATAAAAGCTTTGTTTTAGATATTATGATGATAATAAGTCAAGAAATGTTCATCATAATAGAAAATATATCATTTACAGAAAAAATGTTTATTTCATCAAGAAGAGAGAAAAATAAAAGATCGTATGGAAGAGAGTCACTTTTTATCCTCAGAAGCTAATGATGGAGTTGCCTCTAACTTCATTCCAGACTGTACTTTGATTGCTTAATAATTTTTGTCTTTACAAAAGCTCTCTGTCTTTCATTGGTGTGGTATTTTGTGTCGCCATTTTCCTCAAACACATGCAACCCACAAACATGTCATGCAGATGGGACTAGAATTTCTTATGCTTACCTGACATCTACTTTTGAAACATGGGAAGAAACCATGACCGCAGACATGAAACGCAACATGAAGCATCTTTCTACGTATATCCATTTTATTTTACAATTCATATAGCTCCCACTGGAAACATTATAGATAGTTCTGTATTGTGAATGAATAAATTTTTATAGAGTAGAGAATTCATTTGTATATTTATGATAGAACACAAGCCTCCAAGAACATCGTGTTTTTACAAACCCTGAGTTGTCTTCCTCTGGGGAGGTTTTTCTTTTCCTCTCATCTTACCCTCACCATCCAGGTTTCGATAAAGTTTCTCAGGCACTCTGTACTCACCACAAGGAACAGGGAGTCTATGACTGCAAACAGAAGCAGAATAGCCCCCGCACCTCTTCTCTATAAAAGGTGTGAAGTCCTGAGAGATTAAACAGAACTTGGAACACAAGGTGGAGAGAATGTTGCAGAAATTTCAGCTAAATGGAGCACTCTTGTGTGTTGAGATTCAGCTTTTAGGACTAGAAAAGAAGAGAAAGAAGGTCTGGCTTGACAGAGAGGAAATGACTCTCTGAGCTTGTGGAGAGCAAAGAAGTGTCACACGAACAGGAACAGGAGCAACAACCTGAAACCTGTGACAATGGCTCCAGTGCCACCTTCTCTCCTTGGCACCAAGTGAATCCCAAAGACTCAGATGCAATCCTGGGGAAGGGAGGAAGCCTGAGTCTTCTAAGATTAAATGTCCCTCGCCATAATAAGAAGCGGTGAGAAATAGTATTGGAAATGTACTTGCATTCAGAAAAATACACTTATAATCCTTGCAAGCCTGAATATAAGAATGGTATTAATGCCAATATTGGTTAAGTTATGAAAATCTAATGCTTCAAAAGAATATTTTTGATTATATGCTAAGACATAGCTGACAGCAGACTTAATGTAATTCCTGATCTCGACAAACTAATGACCTATTTAATATTCTCTTCATATGTATCAAAGTTTTTCTGATAAATAGAGACTGGCTAGTCAGCAGACAGTAGGGGTAGGGAAAATTCTGGTAGATGATGCACCATTAAAATGGTGAAGATAAAAGTATAGTAGCTCTATAGTGAGGAAATAACACTTTAACTTTCCTTATCTGGAAACTATAATAAAATACCAAGGACTTGGCATTTTTTACACAGATAAATCTATTTCTTTCTTCTCAGCATTTGGGAAGGTGGAGAGGTACTTGTAGATTCTGGATAGGAACCATTCTTTCTTAAAAATATCTTCTCCATCAGAGGAAAGAGAACGCTACCCCTGGAGTCTTTCAGTAATCCTAATCACAAGGGCTCCAGTCTCATGATTTAATCATCTTCCTGAAGGGCCCTTCTTTAAAAAAAAATAAGATACATTTTGTTAACTCTTTGAGAGTCTCATACACACATACAGTATATTTTACAGTGTTTACCCATCTACTTCCTCCTTAGCTCCTCATAGATCTATCTCCCCCCAACTTCGTGTCTTCTTACTTTAATAACCTATTAGTCCAATTCATGCTGCCCATATCCTCAGGGGTATGGGGCGATCTATGAGTGAATTGTTGCCAATCGGGGCCTATACCCTTAAAGAACACCGACTCTTCCTCTTCCAGCAGCTTTCAATTACTAAAAATCTCCTCAGCGCGGGGTAGAAGGTAATGAGCCCTTCCCACTTCATGCTGGAATGCTAGCCAGTTTGATCTTGTGCAGGTAACCACAGCCGCTGTGAGTGTGTGAGCACAGAGTTCCTCTTGTCCTCTCACATCCAGGATGATGCTTCTTCCATTCCTCCCAGGTCTCTGCCTCTTAACATCTTTCTTCTATCTTTTCCGTGATGGCCCTTGGGCGCTGGAGGAAGGGAAAGTGATATAAATGTCCTATTCATGGCTGCTCCCCAGAGTCTTAGTCTCGGCACTTTGAACAGTTGGGAGTTTCTACACTAGCCATCTACATTACACTGCACAAAGGAGCCTCTCTGGTGAGGTCTGAGAGCTACGCTAATCTACAAGACTAGAGATAGGATTTTAAGATCTGGCTAAGCTGCACGAATAGTAGTTAAAGTGCATGAATAATAAAGATACAAGTTTAGTGGACAATTTAATACTATTGTCATTCAGAAAAACAATAGTAATGAGTTTACCATTCTGGGGACAGGGAAAGGGGTTATAAGTTCTATAGCTACAGGTTCTTGGCTGGACTTATCCTAAGCATGCATTTCTTTCTAGATAGCAGACTTTAAATCTAATCAGAAAGTAGTTGGTTGCCCAAATAACATTTGTGCCACTATTGTACCCAGAGGATTATCTTGTCACAGAGGTTATTGCTACAGCTTGCAGGGTTCACAGTGGAGAATGACTTGTCTCCCCCAACAGCCTGCATAGTACCATTAGGTACTATAAAAGCAAGCCAGCAGAGAGGGAGCTTCTTAATCAATGCCAACTTGATTTCTCTGTGTCCTGTGAAAAGTGTGCGGTATCTTCGGCAACAGTATCTCACCATCGAGTTCCATGGGAAACCAAGAGCAATAGCAACAGTCTATATTTCCTGGGCAATTCCTGGGGTAGCCATGAACAAGAATTCAAAAGGAGGTATCCCATACTTGGCACTGATGTTTAATTTGGCTACCTTTAAAGGCCCTATCTCTTAATACCATCATGCTGAGGTTTAGGTTCTAACATGGGAATTTTGGAGAAACAAAAATACCCCCCCCCAAAAAAAAAACAGAACATAGGCTGTTTTTCTTAAAAGATTATTAAGAATCAGAGCTTTCTGGCCAATAGAACAAACAAAAAGCAAACAAGCAAATAAAAAACCTCATGGGGAATAATATAAACCCTCAGGCGAAAACTGAATACTGTTGTTCAGCTAAATCGACAGAACATCAAGATGGCTTCTCAATGTTTATGTTTGTACTCACAGGCGAACCTTAACCAAGGAAGCCTCTCTTTCCAGTGAACAGTAATTAATGCAGAAATTCATGGCTGCATAAGATGCTGAGAATAATTTACATATGAGACCTCAAAACCAAACACAGTCCCCTCTAAGACTCAGGGAATAGTGATGAAGAAAGAGCCGAAAGAATGTAAGAGCCAGAAAACAGAGAAAATGGTTGAAAAGAAGACTCAAATACCAACAAGTTTCACTGTTGTAACCATGAAGTCCCAGCAGCTATTGATTCCTGCACTGGGTCCCCATAGCAATGTGCTCATTAACATTCAGGCCTGGGTGGAGGAAGAGCTCACTGTTGAACCATTTGTTACTGATAAATTCAGGAATAGGAATTGTTACCTTATGGTCTATACCAAGTCATGACTCTTGCCATCTCCGGTGGATGGTTCAAGTTCAGGGGTCACACGGATGGCCCTGGTTAAACCAGATGAATCACAAAACGCATGATTCTGAAAAAGAAACTGGGAGGATTAGGAGATCGGGGTTCCACAGGGTGGGAGAGAGATAAGAGACTGTGTAGGAAAGAGTAATCAAAGTGCATTGCTTACATGTATGAAATTATCAAACAAAAATAAACAATAAAAAAGTGTTTTAAAGAGTAGAAGTTTTCACACTTTTTGACAGCATGACATTTTGTGCATGTCAAGGTAGACTTTCTCTATAAAGTGGGGACACCATATTCTGGGGAAGCAGGACAGCAGTGGTGGCTCTCCACAGAAAGCAGATTAAGGGAAACTATGACTGAATTTTGCCTCTGTTAATTATTTTCTATGTGAGGAAACTGAGGCACAGAGCTGTAAGGTAATTGACCAAGGTTATACCACCCTGGTTTGTTTTCTCTTGTTTTGTTTTCAGACAAAATCTCTTGCAGCACATGCTGGTCACAAACTCACAACATAGAGGAACGTGACCACTCCAATCCTGACCTTTCGTCTCCACCTCTCCGGGGCTGGGATTACTGGTGTACAAACCCACACACACACACCCATGGACTGACCCTACGCTCAGTTTTTACTGCTGCTCAATAGTTAACACTTTTCCCCTTGCCTCTCCTGTTATTTTTTAAAAACTGGGCATTTTCCTTTCCAAGGCCAAAATACTAAAGTTTGGAAAAAGAAGAAACACAGATCTCAGCCTTCCTTAGCTACTTAAGTGGAAGCAGCACTGGCCGAAAATTGTATAAATAAATAAACAATGCCAAAACCTTAACTTCAGATTAAGCCTCGGGCTCCAAAAGCCTTCAGCCTGCCTCTGAAATAATTGCTAGTAAAACCTGAGAGCATCGTTCGCAGGCTGATCGTGGCAGCAGTACAAGCCATAAAAGAGAGAGGATGTGAGAGACAGGCAAACTAATAGGAAAACCCAACAGCCTGCTTCTAGATAATTGAGGGTTGACCGTAAACACCTAGGCAATCACACAGCAACTTGAATACAAATATTCTGATAGAAAATAGCTTCATTTTATTAAACTTGAATATACTTTCGACAGCTTGAAGTTTGTTTTCCGGAATGGTTTTCAGGCTAGTCGGATAAGGTGAGCAAAGAAAAGACCCAACACAGAAAGTGCCAACTCCACTTGGCCCAGGGCTTTGTACTTGTGGCATTGAATGCATCCTTGGAAAAGTACATACTAGTTACTCTGTGAAGAACTTCCTACTCCATCTCATGCCCCAAGAATGAAATTCCATAGTACACTTCTTTTCCCTCGTTAAGGCAGAACTGCCTTTAAAGGGCAGCCACATATTTAAACTACTCTGAACTCTCAAAATACTGAGCACCAAGCACTTGACATTCATGAAAGCACTGTTTCCAAAATTTCTAACACTCTGGTTGTGGGATGCAATGTGCTGGTAAAAGCAAATTTCAATTTGGCTTTCCAGTGTGCTTTGGGTCCTTCTGAGAGCTGGCATTAAGGGAGATGGGGAAATTCATATGAAAGTCTGGATTTCTGGATTCTCTTGAAAGAAAACCATGGCAAGGCATCCGCACATTCCTCTCTAACACCCATCTGCTAGAACTCTGTAAGACTCTGTTCTTAAATAGACAGGCCACCAGCTCACCACACTTACCACCAAACCATTCTACTCACTAGCAATTGCCTCATGGACCAATTAGGCACCTGAGTTCATGGCTGCCACACAAAAATATATAATTATTCCATAAAATGTACTTTAGTCATAAATAGTAAATAACAACGGTTTGAGTTGTTGATGTCATCTCCTGTACCATGGCTACATCATATGAAACCCACGATTCTGCTTCAGAGACATAAATTATTTTATGTGACTCACTATCCTATTTTCAAAATTGGGCATCATAAATTTAAGAAGGTTACAAATTTTCTGTATGCTATGAGGTTTTCTTGAAGAAAGCAGCATGCAGGTTTTAAAAGTTCAAAAAACTAAACAAAGGAGGAAAGTTATAAAGCTCATTGATTTATAATGGAAGGACCATGTTCTGTGAGCTACAGAAATAGGGTTCACCCTAGCAGAGACATAACTACCTGAATCCTCCTCATACATCCATAGTGTATCCTTCAGCAACCCAGACCACTGAATAAGAAGCTGTTGTTGGGATAATGTTGTTTCCACAAGCCTTACAGATGATTCTGGTGACCACCAACATTTTAGAGGTCCTGATCCCGAGCATCCCTACTAGTGGTCATCAATACACAGGAACCCCCCGCTGCAGTGTTCAGAGCCTCACTCACTCCCAAGGCACAATCTCAGTAGCAAACTGACTCATCTCTGGCTGAAAATACAATTGTTTACAACTTGTCCCCGAAAACAACAGGCAGGCTGAGTCTCATTTTGGGCTTCCTAACTCTCCTACATGTTGGAAACCTAGCCAAAGTGCATTTCTGCCACCGAAATGCCTCCTTCACAGTCAATAGTCATTTGGACAGAAGTCATGATGAAGCCCAAGAAGATGGGAAAGGATCAAACATTCATCAGTGGTGGGGACCAGACTAAGGATCCAGGTTCGACTAGTAATGACCCTGACTTAGCAAGCAGAGGGTAAATTCCTGTGCCCAGAGGTAGCTGGTAATCCATGTAGTGTGGTCCACTCTGTCTGCAGAAAGATAATCCAAAGATGCATGTATAGTCCCAAAGTGTGGGCTTTTTGTTTATTATTTTTATCTTTCTTATAACTATGCAAAGAAAATAAAATGAGTTTTATTTCTCCCATACAAACACACCCAAACACCATGTAATATAGTCAGAAGAGCATGCAAATATAATTATCATATCATTTCATGCTTGGCCATAGGACACTATTTTAAGATTCAAACCAAATCTGAAGTATGCCTTTGGTTGAAGTCATGGAGCCATGATGGGTAAGACTCTAGCAGAAGTTTGTATTCTAGACAGTACTACATACTCTTTGATTCTGAATACGTGTTCTATAAAATGTTAAGAACTTTTTTAATTTCCACAAATCAATTTTTCCTTTGACTTTTCTATTACTTGGAGAGAGAAAACAATTAACTTTTCTACCAAAGAAGAGAAAAGATATCTCTTCCCAGAAAACGATTCATAATTTTTCAGGGTTTGCGGGGATTGCAGTTCTGTATAAACATATAGACAAATCCAGAGGGGGAAAAGTCTGCACAACTGTACTGCAGTCAGATTTCAGAGCCTCACACACTTAAGGAATGGTCCATGTTCTCTTTGCTCAACCACACTGTCTCCTGATAATGAGGCAGGGTAATGACGCTAATTCTTTGTCTCTCCACTGAACATTTCTGCAAAGGAGGCTAGAGTGGTGATACATGACCAGCAGTGTGTGAGAGGGCCCTCTCATGAGATCTTTTTCCATCCTTCCCGCTGTTCTAAAGAAGACAAAAAAATGTACCATTGGCCCCTACAAGGACCTTGAAGGCCACACCATGACTTCCCTGCTTCTTCCTTAACAAAATATTGATACAAAGATTCACTGCAATAACCCAAACCCACTCTGAGCCGTACATTTTTATGATAAGCTATTTTTAACTAGACCATGATTCTTTTATAAAGTTTTAAACAGTTTAATTAATTACCCTACAGTATAAGCTCCTAACACATTGTGTCTGATTTATTTTTTATATATATTTACACTGTAAATTTTTGAGTGGTTTTTCCTCACTTGTAGCTTGGCAGCCCAATTACCATGTCAGCCTTCACCATGAGCACAGAATCATACATGCAGCTTCTTTCCCCGTGAGCACATGAGCACCATAGCCACAGTCTAACGGGACATCTGATTTTTTTTTTTCAAAACGGGTAATTTGTTCTGTGGCATTATACTGTTTCCTCCACGGCAATCCAATCATGCCATACAGACATTTAAAACTGGTTTTAGTTAGCAAATAAAATGATAAGTTTTACTATGGCATTTTCATACATGTCCATAAGTTTACTCCTTCTTTTCTCCTTTGTCACCCTAACTCCTTCCTGCCTCGTGACAGTTGCTCTTTTACATCTGTTTTACTCAGTTTTTAAAGCTTACCCTCAATTCAAGATGGCTGAGAACAAAGATATTTTCATGCTAGAGAGAGGCATCAGTGGTTGAGAGCACTGAATGATCTCCCAGGGGGCCTGGGCTTAGCTCCCTGCACCCACATGGCAGCTCACAACTGTGTACAACTCTAGTTCTGAAGGATCCACATGCCTTCTTCTGACCTCCAAGAGAACCAACACAGGCATGTGCCTGATACATAGACATGTATATAAGCATGTAGGCAAAATAACCATACACATGAGATAATTAAAAAACATACATAGGAGGCAGGAAGGAACTAGGGGTGACAAAGGAGAGAAAGAGGAGCAAAATTATGTACATGTATGGAAACACCATACTGAAACTCATTTCATTTGCTAACTCAAACCAGTTTTACATGTCTGGATGGCATGGGACAATTCTGTATTCTGTCAATTATGTTTTAAATAAACACTGATTGGCCAGTAGTCAGGCAGGAAGTATAGGTGGGACAACCAGATAGGAAGTAGAGGTGGGGCAATGAGAACAGGAGCATTCTGGGAAGAAGGAAGCTCTTTCCCCAGTCCTGCCCAGAAGGAGGATGTGACCTGCCCCACCAAAAAAAGGTCCCAAGCCATGTGACTAACATAGATAAGAATAATGGGTTAATATAAGTTATAAGAGCTAATAAGAAGCCTGAGCTAATGGGCCAATCAGTTTATAACTTATGATGACCTCTGTGTGATTTTCTTTGGGGTTAAATGGCTGCGGGAACCACGTAGGACATATAAATTTTACCATCTTTGAAAGATATCGGATGTCCCTTTAGATTGTGGCTATGTGCTCATGGGTTCTTGGGGAAGGAATTAGTGGTTAACAGTGTTTCTAAATGATTAACTTTCCTTTAGATAACTAAGTAATCAACATTTTAAAAAATTATTGCAATGGATTAACGCAGAAAACTGGGTAGATAGCTCAGCCAATAAACTGC